AGTTTGATATGTATAAGATACATGATGCAAATAGTTACAGGAACCCAAAAAAAACAGATTACAGACTAATGGAACCATGCTGCAGGTAATACAAGAACAAAGGGCTCACTGTGAAGATATGATAGTTAAAATAGAATATTATTAACTTAATTTGTTAGTTGTTACCTTATCAACATATGAGCGAACCATATTCTCTATATCTTCCACAATACTTTCAGACTGTCCCTCTGTATTAGCAAATGAAAAAGTTGCCAGAGGTGAGGCTAACACTAATACCAAATGAAAAAGTTCTTTTCCTTTTGAATAAATAGAACAACAGTATACCTACAGCAACTTTTGTCAACCCCGGAAGATCAATCAACGTTAAGTTCACAACTGAAAAAAAGACATTTCAAACTATTATAAGCCAAAATGCAACGGAAACAACAGTTGGAAGTTGAAGAGCTAATTTAACAGACACGCGTCAACAACTGTACATAACGATACAGTATGCATGAGTTGGATAAAGCTACAACAGGTTAGAAATCTGGACAACGATAATGCTTTTGCATGAATGATATGTGGTTTGTAGCATCTTAATCTACTACAAACATTTTTATACAATCATTCAATTCTGACTTGCAACATTGAAAACTATTTGCCATGTGACATATGGCATGATACACACTGAAGATTGAAGGAATTGGTCAAAAGTAAATAGATTTACCCTTGGGCGAGTAGATGCTGAGATGAATAGGGACAGGAGATATTTGCTTAGTTTTTCCAGTCAGTCTATCCGTCTCATCAGCAATTTCTTGGCGAACAAGGGCTGCACCATAGTAAAGAGAAATTATTGTTTGTGTGCTCGTTAAATTTTGAGAATTCTACTTATATCATCACAAGGAACACATTACAAGCAAAGTACACCAGCTGAGGAATGCAGGGACCTGAACTTGACAAACTGGACCCTACAGTATATGCATCTGGTTGCGATGTTTACCAAGTTTCCATGAATTAGAAATTGGGAAGGTCACAAGAGATGTCTGGTGTAATAATTTTGATCCATAGTGGACAGAGGACACAAACAAACAAACAAAATTAGGGTGAGGTTCGCACCAAAGTCTGAAAACCTTGTTTTGGGCTTATGTAAGAACTCTGCGTACTCCTGAGATCCATTGTCTGTCTGGTGCAGCTGTAGCACTAAAAGCCTTCGCGTGACAATTCCTGTATACATATTATTATTACAACTCAGAGAAAGTTCATTCCTTAATTTTTCGCTTAAGAAATTAAGTGATGAACTATAACATGTTGGGGATTGAATTGGAATTGAAAAAGGCAAAAGAGATGAACTGACCCGATCCACGGGGAAGAAAATCGGTGCCAACAATGCTCTCAAGTACAGAGGACTTGCCCGAGCTATGTTGCACAGATTAAAAAAATATTGCTGGTAGATCAGTAAACCGGACCATGCAGAATTATTAGCTATAACATGCATGCTGTCCTCAAAACAAAGTGATCAATACAATATATATATATATATATATATATATATATATATATATATATATATATATACTCCCTTCATTCTAGAATAAAATCAATTTTTAGAAGCACCCCAAAGTCAAATTATCTTTAAGTTTAATTAAATTTAATCAACTTTATAGGAAAGTGTAATAACATCTATGAGACCAAATAAGTAAATTATGAAAAATATATTTTATGACATATCTAGTGATAAATTGGTGACATAAATATTTCTGTTCTTTTCTATGAAATTGGACAAACTTAACATTATTTGACTTGGCACAAACTCTAGAGAAATATTTAATTTCGAAAAGATCGAGCATCCGGATGCGAGGATGGAGGGCCGGAGAGGAATTGAGAAGAGCAGCACCTGGCCTCCGATGACGGCGATGGTAGGGAGAGACTCCCAGAGGGTGGGCAAGTCGCTTCCTCCTCCGTGCATGCGCGCTGGATGCGGTTCATCAACCCGATTAGGCCCTCTATGGACGCCACGGGGCCTGTTCATTCGGATGAATTCTGGAGGAATTTGAAGGGTTCGGAGAAATGCTGGAGGAATTTGGGAGAGAAAAACACGGTTCCGGATGAAAAAAGAAGTGGATTAAGTCAGGTTTAAGGGCACGCGAACGGGACCATAATCTTCTTCTTGATTTGCTTTCCCAAATTCACCTGTTTTCCAGTATGGGTGGAATTGTTCCGTTGCGTTGCGTGGAGAAGAGAAGGAGCCAAGGACTGACCGGACGAGGAAGAAGGTTCGAAGACAACTTAAGAGAATATTACAGTATATTATTAAAATTTTAAGAGAGAATACTTAAATGACGTAGGTACTCATAGAATTATTCTAATAAAGGTGTTTCTCCTTAAATTGTTGTTTTCTTTTTAACCAACTTTATCAAATCTAGGCATAGTCATTATATATATAGAGAATGCTCTATATTTCAATACAAATTTTATAATACACTATATTTCAAGACAGAGGAAGTATGTGTCACTTATGTCTAGTCTATATGAACTCTCAAATTATATTTCTGTCTCACTCATCGTGCATTCCAACTCATGCAACCTCTGTGTACACCGTATAATCAGGTGACTGTTTCCTCGGACAAAATATCCTATGACACTATGCACTATTTCCTCTCAAACATTCCATGGATTATCCAAAGGCTTCTGACCATTGTATATTATTTCATTTTTTTTTATCTTGGTCGCTGGTCCTTCATTTTATTTCTTAGCATCCATAGAACCAATGTAAACATGTTTAACATATCTTATCATGCATTATGGTTTTTTTAATGAAAGAAGAATTATATTAAATTATAGTTGAGTACATTATCACGTTACAAGTACTCTGGAATACACTATGGCTCCGTTCGCGTGCCCTTAAATCCGGCTTGATCCGCTTCTTTTTTCATCCGGAACAGTGTTTCTCTCTCATAAATTCCTCCAGCATTTCTCCAAATCATCTAAATTCCTCCAAGCGAACATGCCCTATGTATATCTAGAAACTGATCAACTAAATTATACCCACGCTTTGTATAGCTCCAAATCTCAACTCCAAACCTGTACGACAATTCGTATGGATGACCGCACAGGCAAACACTCGGCAAAAGCCCTGAGAACAGATACCCAACGAACGACGGCCAACATTCCTACAGGCGAAGTGGATAAACTTATTCTTTCTTGTGTCTTTCTTCTTTCTGCCACCGAAGAATAAGGAAGACTGATCTGAAAATTATTCTCCCTGATCCTTCATCGTGGTCTGATCTAACCACAACAAAACAGAGAAGAGACTGGAAGACTGATATGAAAATTATTCTCCCTGGCCCTTCATCGTGGTCCGGTCTAACCACAATAAAACAGAGAAAAGATCGGGGAAAATTATTCCACGGTGGTGACGTCATCTCCACCTTGATGTCGACGTCCGGAAAGCCAAGTCTCCATGTCGTCAAGCCGAGAAAGTTGGAGTTATTGACACCGTTATCGCTCTCATCTTCCATAGAGCCACCATGGAGAAAATAAATCCAATCTGCCCCCTCACCGTTGCCGGAGAGGAGGAGGAGGAGATAAATCTCCATTACCAAGAAACTTGACATGAAGAGACCCTAATCTAAAAAAAACTCGATCTACTAAAAAAACATATTAAAAATGATAGATCCTCACTCCCTTTGCCCTCCCGCGAGATGCCAAAGGATAAGGGAGGGGGACCAGCGGGGTGGCGACAACAGTGGCGCTCGCTAGGGCGAGAGAGTTGCGAGTCTATCCTGGGCTATCATGCATTAAGGTTATGTTGTTTGCGTATGCCATTTTAACCACTAAAATCGTAATGAAATGGCATAAGAGTCGTGTTAGTTGTATAATATCTTCAAAGATCAAATAAATATAAGTCGCTTTGATTTTTTTTGGTTCATCCATTTTGCTATGTATCTAGACATAATATTATAGCTTGATGCATAGCAAAATAGATGTACCAGAAAAAGTCAAACCGACTTATAATTTGGAACGGAATGAGTACTTTATGAAGAATTTAACAAAATTAAATTTGATCTGATGTTAATGTTGAAGGCAATTAAAACTATTTGACTTAGGATATAAGTAAAGTGAATTGTAATTTGAAATGCAGGAGCATGGTGAAACACATAGTTAAAGTCATGGTTGTAGTGACTTATGTATTCCCTATGTCTTATAATATAATGCATTGTAGAGATTTTAGGACAGATTAAGAGAAAACATAAAAGAAAACATTTACCCCACTGTGTTTTCTAATTAGACACAACAATCAGCATCAGTAATAATCATTGATTAATAAATGGCAAGTAGCAATATAATAACTATTAATTTTATATAGCTATTTAATGAAAAAATGTTTTATCTCTCTTAAATCTCTTGTATCTGTGTATAGTTTTTTGAATACTTGAATGTGCTATATTACATGACCGAGGAAGTAAGAAGAGACCGTTTTTATCTTTCCTTTTTTCTATATTTCGGATGCCTGAATTTTAAGGTGATTTGAGATAACACTCTTATACAACCAATTAGTACAAGTAAATTATTATTTTTATAATTTGTTATTTGTTTTTACATCATAATATATCAGATTTTTGTCCTTCTCTAACTATAGAAATAATTGTAAATTGTTAATCTTCTTTGTGCTAACACAATCAGATTTTATCGGGTTTGTGGTTTTGTCTAACAAATTTTTATTCTCATATTCGAAAACTACAGATTATACCTACATAAGTTGTAATGAATTAAAACTGAGTATAAAATATATATAATAATCGTCGTCTAATCATAATAAAGCACCTGAACTTTAACAAGTTCTTTTTAAAAAAATATATAAACCAGAAATCAATGAAGTCACTATTCAACCGGAGAAGCACCCAACGGAGGTTACGGGCTATATCCGGTATCCATCCGGTTGCGTTGCGTCTGGTCGGACGGGCATAAATCCGAATCCCCCCGCTCTTGTTCAGAGGGGAGTAAAGCAAACAGCGGCGGACATGGTGGGCCCAGGAGGAGCGCTCGCCGCGGCCCCGCGCCTCCTCGTGCTCGTGTTCCTCTGCTTCCTCGCCGGTGGAGCCCGCCCATCTCCGGCCACAGACGCACTGCGCCGCGTCTCCCCGCGCGCGGCCGCCGCCGGCCTCTGCCAGCAGCTGCTCCTGCCGCAGGGCTACCCGTGCACCGAGCACACCGTACGTACGCCATTCCCGCTGCCTGTTCTTGATCTTCTTCTCTCTTGCAGCCGAGAATTAATTCTTTGTTACTTTGTGCTCTATTGTTCGGGACCGAATTGTTAGCATCGCAACCAGGATCGGTTGGTTTGGGTTTGGTATGATATGACTAGCTTACTAGATTGATTGCATTAAGCTAAGGCATTGAGTTGATTTTTTGTCTCTATATCGTTGAGCGCCCAACCAAAGGAGGGACGGGATTGGTGTTCCAGTAGCCATCGCCCGTCTGGAAATCTTGTTCTTGTATCTATCGCTGAATAATGAGCTGTATCTATCGCTGAATAATGAGCCCAACCAGACGCGGGGAGGGAAGACTGGAAGAGTCAATATTGTTCCAGTTCCAATCGGAGTTGCCGTAAAACCAATGGACTCTGTGCCTCAGGCCCCTTTCCGAGAAGTGGAAAGCAAAGCCAACATGTAATGGCCTGTCTCAATTGGATAAGAGGCTTCCATTAGTAATTTCTCTACAGTCTACGGCTCTAGGTTAATCAGAGCAAAGTGGCTTCTATCCTTGCTTTCTACTCCAAGCAAAGGAGAAACTTTCTGACAGACACAGACTTTGCTTATACTTCATTACTTCTGTAATTTTAGTGTTGAGGCCCAATCCCAAAGAACATAAGGCTTGTCACGGCACCACTATGTGCATGTGAACTGTGAACCGTGAACTAAACGTTTATCAAATTCATCTCCTATGAGCATGCCAAAATGCCTTCTTTTAGTTCTCCGGTGTGTCAAATACCTTTGATGGTTTTCTGTTGCTTATTGCTTTAACCTTTATCACAGGCTGTGTACCCCTGCCAACTAAAGGGTTCATTACTAATAGTCATGTTAAACCATAAAGTGAACCCATTGGAATTGCTAAACATCTGTTGCTATCACGCAATGTTTTTTTTTTTCTGATCTTGAACTGCAAACCCATTCTGGCAATTTGTTTTTCAAGGGGAAAAGGACTCACATATAAGCTTGTAACTGATCAGAAATAATAAATTGTTATTGAACTTAGCTTATTTTTCTTCGACGAAATTGGTCTGGAACCTTAATATTTCCAAACATCTTCTTGCATTTTTCCTTTTTCTGTCTAAGTTCATAAAGTAACAAGTATGAGCTGTAACTGAAAATTATTTGTTACTACTTTTGTTCACTTTTCTGCTCTTTTTCATAGGGATCTTAGCATACCTTTGTTGCAGGTTCAAACGGATGATGGCTTCCTTTTGTCTCTTCAGCATATTCCACATGGCAAAAATGGAATAGCAGATAATGCTGGACCTCCAGTTTTTCTTCAGCACGGTCTTTTTCAGGTTTTTCCTTAGAACTATATGCATGTTTTTCACTTAGACCTTCTCATATCAAGATTGTGGTAACTTTGATATTTCTGGATGTTTTTTTTTGGGATAATGGACTTCATAGCTCCGTTTACATTAATAGATTACCTTTTTTCCCTGGCATCATTTCATTCTTCAATTGCGTTACTTTATTCAAATCCTGCACAGGGTGGAGATACATGGTTCATAAACTCCAATGAACAATCACTTGGATATATCCTTGCTGATAATGGTTTTGATGTTTGGATTGGAAATGTCCGTGGCACACGTTGGAGTAAAGGCCACTCTACTCTCTCTGTTCATGATAAGGTAAATGATCCCATAGGAAGTTACACTGTAAAAATCTCCATAAACAAAAAACTATGAGATATCCACAATAAGTCTTCTGTCATTTCCACTCCCTGAATTGCATTGCTTGCAAAAATGTGATTGGAAGATTGAAGCCATTAAAGAAAAATAGATCTGCTTGTTATAACTTTGATGAGATTGTATAGAGTGCCTGCCTATTGTGATTTAAGCAGCAAATGAAGTGTTTTCTAGCTGTGATCCTATGGTTTATTGTTGATTTAACTGAATCCTGTGGTAACTTTTGCAGCTTTTTTGGGAATGGAGTTGGCAAGACCTTGCTGAATACGATGTTTTGGCAATGTTAAGCTATGTACATACAATTACACAGTCCAAAATTTCATATGTGGGACATTCACAGGTACCCTGTTGCTGGTTTTGATTGAGTCAAAACCTTGCCATTGTATTACTAACGAGTATATGGCTTTGTAGGGAACTATCATGGGTCTGGCTGCGTTTACAATGCCCGAAATAGTAAAAATGATAAGCTCTGCTGCGCTTCTTTGTCCCATTTCTTACCTTGATCACGTCAGTGCTAGTTTTGTTCTTAGAGCAGTTGCCATGCATCTTGACCAGGTAATATAACATGCCTAAACAAATCCACCAAATAAATGTCAATAACTTCTGAATCAATGTATGGCGTCCTTTTGCCATAGATGCTTGTTGCTATGGGCATCCATCAGTTGAACTTCCGGAGGTATGACCATATGACACTTCTTTGCCTGACTTTCCTTTTTTTTCCCTTGGGTGTGATTATAATAGTTTTAAGTTACTCCTTGAGCAGCGATATGGGTGTCCAGATTTTAGATTCGCTGTGTGATGATGAACATTTGGACTGCAACGATCTGTTATCTTCAATAACAGGTATGCAATGCCACAGAAATTTCTGTTTTTTTTACTTTCTGTATTTTCCATAAAAGAAAAATGAGATGTGCAAGCATGTTCTTTTGTTCTACCTAGTTGTGTTGGTGTTGACTGAGTTCATGTGTTTGCGTGTGTGTGTGTTGGGTGGGGTGGGGGATTGTTTGTGTTCTCATACCCTTTTTGCTTCTTAATACAAAGATACATAGCTCTCCTGTGTGTTTGAGAAAAAAAGATGAGATGTCCATGGTTCAAATCTGAGTTTCAAGTGAACTCTGAATTTTGTATTGATCGAGGGACCTTCTATCTATGTTTAAATAACTATGCACACTACAATAAAAGGGCGTACCTAGTGCAGAGAGCTCCCGCTCTGTGCGGGGTCTGGGGAAGGGTGTCAGTGGCAAGCCTTACCCTCGCCTGTGCAATGCGAGGAGACCGCGACTCGAACCCGGGACCTTCCGGTCACAGGCGGTAAGACTCTACCGCTTGCACCAGGCCCGCCCTTCTAACTATGCACACTACAATGTTAACCAATAAATCAGGAAACTAGAACATCATATGCTAGAGGTACAGTAAAAGGAACAAAAAAGATATTAGCATAACCTGTCTGTGAATTATATCATTCTATCAAAGACACCATTATGATGTTTTGCAGCATCACATAAATTCCAATAATTTTTATGGTATTCATAGCTATACTTGTTACCATTCCTGTTTCCATAGTAATGTATCTGCGTTTAGTGGAAACATCATTATAAGTTTTTAGAGGCATGCTGAAGGGGTGATGCAAACAAGGAAAGTGCTTGATAACCTCTGTAATAGAGGTATATGCTGTACTGCAATGAATGAGGAGTGAACCCTGAATTCTGCCAATTTGCTCTGCTTTATGATCCATGCTTAAATGGTACACTACTTTATACTCCTATTTCAGAAGATGGGCTGCATGTGTAAAGTGTTTCCCAACCTATACATTTGCAGCTGCACTGGTATGTAGGTACATGCATGAATGCATGATGAATGGGTGATTCTGAACTTGACCAGTCTCTGTGTTTTGTTGACGGCAAATGCACAAAACCACAAACATCCTTTCACCTTAGCTCCACCTTTTGATAAATTCTACATGTGTAGTTGCATAAAAGTTGTGTCCAGATCATCCAGGCAGTTCAAAGGCACTATAGACTTTAGCCTATGGTCTTTCAACTTGGTTAAACTGCATCTTCCTGTTTTCTCCCTAAAATGTTATCTTAATGTCCCCTCAAACTTTCACCTCTAGTTAGTAGTTACTTGTCATGGAGCCATGCAACTTTACATACTGCATAAGAAGCAAATAATCTACTTCATATACACATGAGATGGGATACATCATACAATTTAAAGCTTGTACAATTGTGTGGTCTGTGCGGTAAAGTTGAAGTACTTCAGCATAGTGTGAGCTTGTCAGGCACACTTCTTGTTGTATTTTAGACTTTGCACACAAAGAACAACCAAGCGTACTTTGAAGGCTGGTGGGAGAGGAGGAGCAATATGTTTCCTTTCTTAGGAAGCGGGGTTGTGCTTTAAGCAGCTGGCAGCATTTTTGCTGAACAGCTACTATGCATGTGGACCTTGCTAAAAGGTATATGACATTTCACGGCAAGTAGCTAGTTTACTGAGCAAAATATAGAATTAATTTCCTAGTAAGCTTGCTCTTCAGTATGATAGAACAAATGACTAATTTTGGATAGTTTGCTTAGGTTGCACCATAACTCGGCCGCATACTTTCATGATTTCATATGAAAACTTCTCTTGATTTTGGTCCAAATATCAAATAGATATTTCTACAAACGATAAGCTCCTGGCCATATTAGGAATCTGGAAATGCTGTTCGAGTTGTATGGCACAATAGATGAAAATTTACTTTTCTTTTTCAGCATTTGTTTGATGGTGTCACACAGATTAACTTCTCAAAAAAAAAAAGAAAGTCAACCGTCTATTTCAAATTGTCAATGTTTCTCTATTGAAAAGCTACTACAATATTATTGGCCATGCAAAAGCCCAAATTGATCACATCAGATAGATAAATGATGAATTTATAGATGAGAACATTTTCATGTCCTAGCTTATGTGCTGTGGTTAGTATAGTATATATAATTTACACCCTTTCTTCCAGGTCAAAACTGTTGTTTCAATTCATCTCGGATTGACTATTATTTGGAGTATGAACCCCACCCGTCATCAACAAAAAATTTGCGGCATCTTTTCCAGAGTATGTTTTCTCTCTAATTCTTAATCTTGTTTACACATATGATCTTGGAATATTATTTCAAAATTTTCGATCAAGGTCACAACACAATGTCCTGTGTATTAGTAGCTCAATATTCTTGCTTTTTGTGGCCAACCGTTTCTCCTGAAAGCTTATTTGCCACATGGCTTATGTAGACATTCTATCCGAAATGATTTTGTTGCTCCGTCATGCAGTGATCAGGAAAGGCACTTTCGCAAAGTATGACTACGGATGGTGGGGAAACCTAAGGCGCTACGGCCACCTACATCCTCCCTCATTCGATCTAAGCAGCATACCGGAATCACTGCCAATATGGATGGGGTATGGAGGCCTCGATGCACTGGCTGACGTAACAGATGTTGAGCGCACCATCAAAGAGTTGAAATCCACGCCAGAGCTGCTGTACATTGGTGACTATGGCCACATTGATTTCATCATGAGCGTGAAAGCAAAGGAAGATGTTTATGTTGACTTAATGAGGTTTCTCAGGGCCCAGCAGGGAATGCACAGTAGCTATTAGGACGCATCGTACGCCTTTAATTGAATGTTTAATATACTATGATGACAGTACGACTATGTAAATACGTACATAGCATAGCTTGTATTGGCCGGCGACAAGCCCAAACAGGTCAACTGCATTTGCCTGTGTGTGGTGTGTGGATTGTTCTCCATTTGATGTACTGCTTTCTGAGTACAGTACATGTACATATGTATGACGAAAATGTAGCACAAGCAATTTGGCTTATTTCGTGCCAATTGCGTGCTTGTATATAAGATTGTTGCAGGACCTGGACCTCTATATTCATTGGCTCTTTTCTTGAAAGATTGCATTACATTGATGATCCTCATTTCAAGGTGGACGTTTGATAACCTAGCCGTAGAAGCACGGAAAGTTCTGCGTCTCCTGCTCAGCTCCTGCACTGCACCGCAATCGTCACGCTCCTGCACCACAATGCTCAGTGACTCGTTTGTTATTTGGCGGCGAACGAGTGTAATGGTTCACTGATTTATTAAACGCTGTTAATTGTGGGTTACCAAGAAACAGCGTTTAATGATTGGATTGGAGTGACTCCATTATTTGGCTACCACTGGTGTAGTGGTATGCATCTTGAGGCCCTGTTTGGAAGCTCAGTATTGGGGCCGAAACCACTATAAATTACAGGCCCCAAAACTATTCCGACCCAACTCAAGAGATGCTGTTTGGAAGCCCGGTGAGCTGATTTTTTTACATCCGTTTTGGGCCAAAACCGACGGAAAAAAATAAGGGTCACCTCCGGCCCGCGAAAAAACACGACATCTATCGAGCTCCATCTCACTTCGCTGGCTTCACCCGGTGCGGCCGAGCGAGGGTTGCTCGTGCCATCAGCGGCGGGCGATTTTTTTTGTTTTTGGTTTTTTTTTTTTAAAGTTGTTCACAAATATGCCCCTGGATGTATGCTTTCAAAATCTAGATCCTCAGCTCAGCGCCGTAGTAATTGGCGTCGAGATTACACGTCTCGGCGCCATAGTAATTGGCGCCTAGGTCTTGTGCCCACGCTGGCGCTGAGGCAGACGTGGCGCAAACGTGGCAGCCAGCTCGGCGTCATAGATCTTGGCGCCGACCTTGACGCCGTAGATCTTGGCACCGAGCTCGACGTCTACATCTTTGGCGCCGTGCCTGCCTGACATGTGGGCTTCCTTTCCTTTCTCTCTTCTTCCTCTTCCTCTTTCCTTCTCTCTCGTTCGTGCGACTCCTGAGCCCACTTGCCGCCGGTGCCGCACCACCACACCCACCCTCGGTCCTCCATGCCAGCCACTTCGAGCCCAGCCCGGCACGCCCCCCACCTCGCCCCCCACACGCCGCCCTGCGCGCGCGCCCGTCCACACGCCCATCACACGCATGCGCGCCGCTGGCCGCCCGGCCGTCATGGGGCGCCAGGCGCCCTCCCTCTGCTCTCGCTGCCCGCCGATCCCGTCCGCCCACCGACCCCGTCCTCCTGCTCCCGGCGCACCGCGACCTCGTTGTCGCTCCTGTTGTCCGCGTGGTAGGTCTGCTCCACCCGGGCGCGACCCCGGCCCCTGCTCCGGCGTCCACGAGCCGGCCCCTCCCCGCCGACCGCCCGATCTGAAAGTGCAATCAAGCCTTAATTGTGGGTTTTGGTGATAATGACCTCGCAATTAGAGAACTAATGAGATTTATCGAGATGATAAGCGGGGAATTTATATTCGAGGATGCTACACGAAATGGAGGAGCCCCCAACTACAAATATAGATGGCTTCAAACTCAAAGAAGGTTTAAATTCTTTTATATATTGAATTTGAGTATAGGAAAAGCCGTACTATAAAGGGAGGCACAATGCTTAAGCTAATATGTGCTACCAAGTGCTCAAACAACCACATGCACCCTCAGCTTCATAGCCAAGATAGTCTACACTTCACTATTATCCTTACTGTCTTACGGGGTGCGAGCTCCAACTCGCAAGACCCCTTGGGTGCGGGCTCCGGTTCGCCCGACGCCTGTCTCGCCCGACCCTTTGGTCGCGACCTCTGTCTCACCCGACCCTTTGGTTGCGAGCTCTGTCTCGCTCGACCCCAAGGTCACAGGCTTCGTCTCGCCCGACCCCAAGGTCGAGGGCTCCGGCTTGCTCGACCCTTTGGTCGCAGGCTTCGTCTCGCCCGACCCCAAGATCGCGGGCTCCGTCTCGCCCGACCCTTTGGTCGCAGGCTCCGGCTCGCCCGACCCTTTGGTGGTGGCCTCATCTCACCCGACCTCAAGGCCGCGGACCTCGTCTCGCCCGACCTCTTGGGTGCAATGTCCGTTGGGGGCTGAGGGTATATATACCTTTTCTTTTTCTCCCCAATGACTATCTACGATTTAAGTGACCGTTGGGGCCTGGGGGGTATATATATACCTTTCCCTTTCTTTCCCAATGGTAATGAACCAACCTGCTCCCTTCTTCCTCACTTCAGCACACTCAAAACAGAGCAGGAGCTCTCTCTCTCACTCCATTGTTGACCTCAAGCCCCCTAAGCAAATCCATTGATTTACCCATCAATCCTTGAGGGATAAGGGTCCAAAGCTTGATAAGAGAGCATCTCCATTGATTCCAAACTCTAAAGAGCACTTGGTTCATGTTTTGGTCGGTGGTTGTGTTTGTTACTCTTGGAGCTTGGCTCCTAGCCGGCTAGAGCATCGCCCGGTGAGCTTGCCAACTTGTGTGGTAGCCCCGGAAGGTTTGTAACCACCTCTTGCAGCAAGTAAAATCACCCCTCTCTCAAGAGTTCACTCTCTTACTTGAGAATGAGGTAGGGATGCAAATCCCTAAACCTTAGTAGTATACCTCAACAACATGGACTTAGGCAAGCCTTGGTGGCGAGCTGAACCATGAGATAAATCCTTGTATCATCTTGTGCTTGTGTTGCTACACTTGTGTTCTTGTTGTTGTTGAGGTGATTTCTAGGATTGAGATCGATCTACTTGTGTGTGGTGTTTCCACCACTTTCAGATGTCGATCTGTGATCTACCACCCTACAGGAAGCTAAGAAATTTACCCGATCTAAATTTCGTTGGGTAGATTTTGAACTGTGAACTATCTCTCCTGTAGGCGCGGTAGTGCCGCGCTCAAAGAGCGGCAGTGCCGCTGGTAAATTTGACTTCGGTTGGAGTTGAATTATTACAGGCCTATTCACCCCATCTCTAAGCATACCAGAGATCCTACTAGTGGTATCAAAGCAAGGTTACCTCGTGTGCACTTCACCGCATGAGGTATGGAGCCCGGGGGAGGATCCGGTGTCGTGAAGACCATCAACGTCGATCCGGAGGACGTTGGGCTGCATGACATCGACAACAGTGAGCTTAGTGCCTCTACAACGAGCAACTCCATGCTCCCGCAGCTGGAGGCAACCGATGCCAAAAAAGCTCAAAATGAAGAAGAAAGAAGAAGAAAAAGAGCAGCTAGAAAAGAGAAACAAGAGAGAAAAAGAAGAAGGAGCAGCAACAGTTAGAAGAGAAGAAAGCAAGAAAAGAAGAAAGAAGAATCAAGAGAGAAGCTAGAAGAAAAGGAAGAGAAGCAAGAAAGAAGAAGGAACAAGAAGCAAAAGCCTCCAACGCATCTTCAAGTGAGCTATCTAGCAGCTTCGAATATGGTGATGATGATGAGTCCTACCAAGTGCATAGCAAGAAGAACAAGAAAGGAAAGGGCAAGAAGAATGACGACAACAAATATGTCGCCATATCCTTTAACTATTCTTCTATGTCTATGACTAACCATGATCGCAAGTCTTTCATCAATGTGCCTATGGGCAAGTTACCTTATTTTGATGGGATTAACTTTGCCAAGTGGAAGCACTTGATGAGAGCCTATCTTATAGGTCTTCATCCCGTCATTTGTGAGGTTGTTTGCAATGGATTTGAGCCACCGGTTGATCCCAAGAATCCAACACTAGAAGAGATGAGAATCATTCACCTAAATGGTCAAGCCACAAGTGTGTTGCTTAATGCCTTGGATGGTGATGAGTACAATAGAGTGATTGGAGTTGATGTTGCCAAGCAAATATGGGATACTTTGCACCTAGCACATGAAGGGGTTGACAAAGTGAGAAAGGCAAGAATTGACTTGTTGATGTCAAAACTCAACCGGTTTGTAATCTTGGATGGAGAGGGGCCACAAGAGATGTTTGATAGGTTGATGACAATAGTGGGCAAGATTAGAGGCTATGGTTGTGATAAGCTAGATGATCATAAAGTTGTCAAGATTATGTTGGAAGCTTATTCATCTAGAAATGAGACCGTAGTCACTCTAATCATAGACAAGAAGAAGTTTGAGTACTTCACACCAAATGATGTACTTGGGAGGATCTTGACCTTTGATATGCAAAGAGAAGAAGCAAATAAGAGGAAGAAGCTTGGATAATTGCAAGCAAAGCTAGAAGGCATCAAGATCAACAAGGATGTAGGTCTCAAGGCCAACAAATCAAGCATGCAAGGCTGAAAGGTCCTAATATGGCTAGAGGGGGGGGTGAATAGCCTATTTAAAAATCTACAAACCAACTAAAGCAATTTGATTAGTATAACAAATAGCGAAATGCAAACTTGTTCTAGCTCTATAAGGGTTGCAAGCCACCTATCCAACAATTCTAGTTGCTATGATCACTAAACACACAATTTGTTATGTCACTACTCACTAAGAGCTCTCACACTTGCTACACTAAAGAGCTTCAATAGATGAACTTAATCTACAAAGCAAGCTCTCAATTTTAGCTACACTAAAGAGCTTGCTATAGCTAGTTTGCGGGAATATAAATGAGTAAATGAGGTGATTATACCGCCGCGTAGAGGAGTGAACCAATCACAAGATGAATACTTAATCAATCACTGGGAGAATACCAAAGGGCAAGAGACAACCAATTTTCTCCCGAGGTTCACGTGCTTGCCAACACGCTACGTCCCCGTTGTGTCGATCAACACTTGATGGTTCGGTGGCTAAGAGGTGTTGCACGAACCTCGTCCACACAATTGGACACCGCAAGAACCTACCCACA